AGGATGAGGGTGGTTTGGCTCAGGCCCTGGGGTGGCACAACGTGACCTCAGCCCCATTGCCCCTTGCCCTGGAGCAATGCCAGGTGAGGGGACTGGGGACTACTAGGGGGTTGCTCCCTGCATGCCAGGAGACACAGTGTCCCAGGGCAGCTCCCAGAATCAGGCCCAGTGGTGCCAGGGCAGGGCTGTCCAGGAACCTCAGGAAAGAGCCGGCGGTTGGTGGTCACTTCTTGCTGCATTTTCTGTGGTCCTGAGCAGACTCTGGAGCCAGCCTGCCTGAGTTTGAATCCTGTCATGGACCATTTGTATGACCTCGAGAAGTTCCATAACCTCTTTGTGCCTCAGTTTCCCCATTTGTAAAATGGATTAAAACTAGGGTTACTGTGAGGGTTAAATGAGTTAATGTGTTTAAAGCACTTGGAATAGGGCCAGCACGAAGCAGCATTCTCTAAAAGTTAGCTGTCATTTTTTGAGTACTGCTATTATTTTTATGACATCCCACCAGACTGTACGCTGCTTGGGGCCATGCATGCATGTATGAATGAATGAAGGAACAACTTGTGTTCCGGCAGCTTCTTGACGTCACACACAGGAGGGTACTCTCGAACACATAGGCATGGAATGGGGGCTGGGAAGATGGAGCTCTCCAACAGAGGGTGGAAGTTGGAGCAAGGAGTGACCGAGGGTTAGCAGGTGTGTCAGACGTGCGTGAGCACCCAGTGGGAGGACCAAGGCTTTCCGGCAAGTCTGTGTGGGCGTGTGCACAGGCACGTGGGCCCCAACACACACACGTGAGCAGCCAGCTGTGTTGGCTCCTTCCGTGAGTTGAGGGGTGATGTCCTGTCCCAGCCAACTGGAAGAAGAATGACCGGGGACAGATGTGGTAGGGGTGGGGAGAGTAAGATTCAGGGTCAGGCCAGGGTAGGGCAGGCTTCCTTGACAATGTCCCTCTCTATCCCTCGTCCTGCCATCTTTCATGGGCTCCTGGCCTCTGATGCTGGCACTGTGCCCTAATTTATGAAACCTCATTTATGTTTCTCACTTGATGCTCATGGCAGCCTGTGCCATGGGCATGACTGTCATCCCCATTTTAGAAATGAGAAGCTAAGGCTTAGAGAGGTAAGCTGGTGGGACCAAGGTCCTGCAGTTTGTGGGTGGCAGGACTTGGTAGAGAGGTAAGCGCAGGTGTCTCCTCCTGGCCACCACCCGCTGGGCTCTCCCTCCTTGCCCTCTCCCCATGCCTCAGGCCTCCACCATCTGGCACCCTCCTGGCCCAGTTCCAGGTCAGAGATGCCTGCAGATCCCCAGCATCCCTCTCTGGGCCACTTGTTTCCTACACGCTCCTTTTCTGTTTTGGCTCCTGCCCAGGGCCCAGGGCTGCTTGCAGGAGGACCTGGGGAGCCAAGCCAACCAGCCCAGCACAAACAATTCTGTCTCCAGAGGCAGCTGTGGACCCCACTCGAGAGGGGCAACACAGCCCTGGCTTGGCGTCTGGGCAGCAGGCAGGCTGCCTTCCCAGCACTGGGCTCAGGTCCATCCGTGGGCAGCCAGTGGGCATTCTGGGGAAGGTGTCTAGAGACTGCCCCTCTCCCTACTTTCTCCAGAAGCATCTGGTTGCGATTAGGGACAGAGAAGTGAGAGGAGGCCGGCAAGGGTCCAGTAGGTGCCCACAGCCAAGAATGACTTAATTGGATAATATATGTCTAATGACAAACCAGAGCCCCACAGCAGAGTCCTGGCCAGGGCCTTGTCTCAGCCTCTCGTACTTGCTGGTGCCCCCAGCATTCTGTCCTCATTTATGCAGTGATCGAGCACCTACTGTTTGCTAGGCACTCACAATTTGAAGAAGGTGGAGAGAGCCCTGGGGGAACTCAAGTCTACCAGGGAGTGACAGGATTAAAGCAATGGTTCTTAGTGGGGTGGGGGAGGGGCAGTTTTGTTCCTCAGGATATTTGGCAATGTTTGGAGAAATTTTTGATTATCACAACTTGGGGAGAGGGGGAGGGGTTGCTACTGGCATCTGGTGGGTAGAGGCCCAAGGATGCTGCTAAACGTCTTAGAACGTACAGTACAGCACCCCCAACAAAGAAATATCCAGTCCAACAACCAACCCAACTTAAAAATGGGCATCATTAAGGCCAGCCCAGTGGCACACTGCTACAGTGCTCCGCTTGGGAGTGTGGCAGCGCTCCCGCCGAGGGTTCGGATCCCACATACAGACCGGTTCC